TTTCATTACACTTGCTGCTAGATTTGCTTTGTGGCTACCAAAAGCTATTCAGTTTAAAATGTTTATTCTAAAAATCTAGACAGTAACTTAACAATCATTCTGCTTCCTGTCACGTCAATTTTTTTGGTTCATTGGCGAGGTAAGGAGAGATTGATCAGGGAAAATGTTTCTCTTCTTTCCTATCTTCTTCAACATATGAAGATATCTCCAGGTGAAAAATTTTTTGAATGGGTAGTATCATTACTCAGAATTTCGTTTGAAAACTGGTCGATGTGGAAGGTAGCTTTCCCCTCTACTTCATTACTTGACATTTATTACTCCTGATTGTAAACAATCTTGGATTATCACATTATAGTCTTCAAGCTTTCCCTTTAATTTCTGTTTTTTAGAGGTTGAAAACAATATCTTTTCAGCAGTGTGTCTATTGAATGATAAACTACCCCAATCATTAGCTGATGGCAAATTGACTTCATACCTACATCATCATTTTTTCTCAAAGTCCTATGAAAGTAATCCAAAATAGCAATTTCTAATTCTACACTAGCCTTGCTTTCACTGGAATCGGTTATTCCTAAAGCATTTAATTTCTGTAAATTCTTGTGAATTAGCATACTGATTATCACAGATGAGGTAATTTGAGGTGAAATGCAGTAGTCTAGCTTGCCCATAACAATACAGCCGAGTAGTGTCTGTACTGCAACAAAACCAGATGAGTGGAAAATGTTCCTGGTGTAGACTTCCAGCACAGTCAACTGCAATTAGCTATAGGTAGTAAGCCTTTTCCTACATCAGCAAGACTGATGCTGTTATCTCGTAATTCAACCATTCTTCTTGAATACTAGAAATGTGCTCACAAATAACTTGCTGGTAAAGAACTTGGACAAGAGCAATTTCTTTATAAATTACCCACCAATTCGTTGTAGCATTTATGTTGCTTTCTAAAGCTAATACCCCCCCCAAATACAACATGCATTAAATTTTCCCTTCATTGAGCAGTTGCCCCCATTTGGTTCATGGTAGATTTAAGAATATACAACCTCTGTGATCCAGTGTCAAATAAAGTTCTTAAGTTCTTTCCATTTGCTTCAATTGACACAAGCAGAGTTTGTAGAAGAACTTCTGTTTGGCTTAGTTAGACCTTCATTTTCATTAACATGAAAAGTCTCTGCATTAATTTTCTTCTTATCAACACTAAAGAATTCAGGTTATACTATAGTCCAATGTTTTTTTTCACAAATTATACATCGAACATTAGCCTTGCAATTCTTCAAATGATGCTAGAATCTCAAACATGTGAAATAAGCTTTATTTTCTCTTAAAATATCTTTTCCCCCTCCTTAAAAAGACATTTTTTGGCCTTTAAAACAGTCTTGAGAATAATGTGTTTTGCCACAAAATATACAAGCAGGTTTCATAGCTTTTTCGAGCTCATTACTCGTCTGGATAGAAATTTTGTCTTTTGTGTACTTCTTATTTGAAACTTCATCTGATTTAATACCAGCTTTGGATATAACCAAACAACCAATTTTTGTGAATTCATTATTTCACCAATGGGAATAACATGACAGCATATTTGTCAGTAGTTATGCCGATCGACTCTAAAGACATCATTGACTCCAATCTATTGTACATCTGCATGATGTTCATTTTCAATTTCATATTCATAGCATTTTTACTACCAATGGGTAGCAGTTTGCAGACATAATACCAACAAATAGCTCTTCACGCCCAAACCTTGTTTTTTGTACCATGCTTTAGTATGAAGCTTTAGCTACCAATGGCTTTTGCATAGTTATCACCAGTTGGTGGATAGCTATCTGCGATTTCTCGGACTCTACTGCCAACTGTTAGGGATGAAATTTATCTTCATGACCAATTGACTCATCATCATGAATTCTACTGAACTGACTCCAAAATGTAAGGCAGGCTTTCACTTCCTCGTTAAATTTAACCAATTCCAATTTGGGGGCTTTAATTTTATTTTCTCACCTGTATGCATCGCCAACCGTTCACAAAAATTTGATTTATCAAGACATGCTTTAATACAAATGCGAGCTACATCTGCTTTTCCTTGATCTTCAATTTTCTTGTATTCCACACCAAAATCTTCAGATTTGGCATCTATTAAAGCAGTACAAATTTTAACATCCAATTCAGCCAAATCTGTAGCAATTTGCTCTAAAGAAGAACATTTAATTTCAACTGCCTATTATAAATCTGTTTCATTTAAAGACGCTATTACAGATTGTAACAGTTCATGTTTCTTACAGGTATATTAATAAAACCTTAAATCAAGAAAGTTAATATTAACAAATTCACTGAATTTTTATCTTTAAGTACCACGTTTGTCTTATCACAATGTTGAGAATGGATAGATTACTAATCAACTTTCTCCTTAGTATTTTACTACGAACTTATTCTTTAAAACAAAATTAATTCTAAACATAAATAGTAATATCAATTGCATCAAGAAAATTATTTTGTACACTGCTGCCAGAATAACACCGAAGTGACAAAAGTCATGGGATACCTCCTAATATTTTGTCGGTCCTCCTTTTGCCCGGTGAAATGCAGCAACTTGACGTGACATGGACTCAACAAGTCGTTGGAAGTTCCCTGCAGGAATATTGAGCCATGCTGCCTCTATAGACGTCCATAATTGTGAAAGTGTTGACGGTGCAGGGTTTTGGGCACGAACTGACCTCTTGATGATGTCTCATAAATGTTCGATGGGATTCATGTCGGGTGATCTAGGTAGCCAGATCATTCGCTGGAATTGTCCAGAATGTTCTTCTAACCAATCGTGAACAATTGTGGCCCAGTGACATGGCGCATTGTCATCCATAAAAATCCCAATGTTGTTTGAGTACGTGAAGTCCATGAATGGCTGTAAGTGATCTCCAAGTAGCTGAAGGTATTCATTTTCAGTCAAAGATCGGTTCAGTTGCACCAGAGGACCGAGTCCATGCCATGTAAAAACAGCCCAGACCATTATGGAACCACCACCAGCTTGAACAGTGCCTTGTTGACAACTTGGGTCCATGGCTTCATGGGGTCTGCGCCACACTCGAACCCTACCTTCAGCTCTTACCAACTGAAATCGTGACTCATCTGACCAAGCCAAGGTTTTCCATTCGTTTAAGGACCAACCGATATGCTCACGAGCCCATGAGAGTCGCTGCAGGCGATATCGTGCTGTCAGTAAAGGCACTCGAGTTGGTCTTCTGCTGGCATAGCATAAGGAAGACAAATTTCGCCGCACTGTCCTATCGGACACGTCCCTCGTAGATTTCTGTGGTTATTTGACGCAGTGTTGCTTGTCTGTGAGCATTGACAACACTACGCAGACGTTGCTGGTATCGGTTGATAAGTGCAGGTGGTCGGCCACTGCGCTGTCCATGGTGGGATGTTATGCCGGAAATTAGATAGTCTCGGCACACTCTTGACACTGTGGATCTCGGAATGTTGAATTCCCTAACGATATCCGAAATGGAATGACTCATGCGTCTAGCTCCAACTACCATTCCACGTTCAAAGTCTGTTAATTCTCGCCGTGCGGCCATAATCACGTCAAAGACTCTTCACATGAATAACTTGAACACAAATGAAAGCCCTGCCACAGCACTTCGCATTTATACATTTTCTAGGCGATACTACTGCCATCTGTATATTTGCATATTCAGGGGTGCTTGTGGGACCCCAAAAAACCCCCTGAAACTTTTACGGACTTACTACCGACATTTTGGAGTTTCGAGAAGGGGGACTTCTTAGAAAATCAGTAATCTATATATAAAAGGAAGAGTCTGTCCGTCTGTGTGTGTCTTTCATTCGTGCTGTCCATAAGTTAATAGACACAGGGCTACATAGGTGCATCTAGACAAGAGCCAGTGCACCTCAAAGTGATTTTTTTCAAAATTCGAATGAGGTTTTTTTTATTTGATGAAATTGCATCAAATCGATGGTACACAGCCATATTTGCTGATATCAGCACTGCTGCCACTCAGAAAAATGAGGACAATAATTCTGTGCAGTTTTTAAATACAATGTTTCTCTTGGATACTGGATGTTTGTCGAGAGGACGTTTGCTTTTTGATTTAAAATTAAAATTTAAAAAAAAGATTTAAAATTAAAATTTTTTTCGGTACATTTAGAGGAAGGCTAGCCACATAGCAGCAAGTTTAGTTATAAAGCTTTACTTTATGTTTCAATGTGCACTATTTTATTCCTTGTGAATACTAATTTTTCAAAATTATGTTGAAATAAAACATGAATTAAATACATTTTGAAAATTTTTATAAAAAATACTTACAGTATTAATAAACACAATTAGCATACTCCTGTCGTTCTTCTGTTAAAAATTACATCGGATTTTAGGCATGGGTTCAGATTGCTCAAAATGGTAAATAAAAAGTATTCTAGTGAATGATTAAATTGAAGTTAGGGTACCATATAAAAAAATGTTGATATTAATATCATCATGCAATTTAAAAGCATCATCCAAAACAAAGAATAAAAACAGAATGTATACATCCAAAACAAAAAATAAAGAAAAAAATTGATTGGATTATTTAACTTAGGCAAAGTGCACATTAGATAACTGGCAAAATCCATTCTACTTTTGATTGAGATGGCTATCTCAAGATGGAATTCAACGATATCTCCTCTTTTCCTATTATCAAATACACCCATTCCGCAAAGATAATACAATCACAGATATAAACTTCTTATCCAGGATTTAAAGATAGGCCTAATGAGATATCAGGTATGTCTATGCTAATCACCATATTTTGGTAAGGCACCAAAAATGAAAGGATACAGGATGAATCTTAACAAGGGATTACTACAAAGATGATCAGTCTTAAAGAAGTGATTATGACAAAGACAGCTAATAAAATCATATGTCTACAATACATTTTAATAAAACTAAGCTTTCGAGCTTCCAGCCTTCATTTGCTTATATTTTAAAGTTTGGATTCCATAAAAAATTTCACAAAACTTACATTCATTCCTCCGAACATGTGTTCAATATCACCTTGAACTACACCCTTAGGCAAATTTCCCACATAGAGTGTGTAAGGAGGTTCTGTTGGCAAAGGGCGAGTGGGTCCTTCTTGCCTAAACAATGACAGGTAATTAATATATACATTAAAATTTAAAAAGGTACCTTTCAGTTAATGGGGGAGCCATTTAGCACCAATCATAAACACTCATAAGAAATTTAATTAGATAGTGACAACCTTACCGATACATAAAGCTTCAGAAAAAATTAAATTTGTAATAAAATAATGCATCACATTATTTAATTCATATAATGTTTAAATGTGCACAATGCCAAATTTATACAATTCTCCAATGCTTTTTAACTCAGAAAAACTTTGCAGAATTGCACAAATTTGGCACAGCCTTGGCACACAATGTAAGCAGGTATCGCATTTGGCATTTATTATTTGACAACTGTCACCCATTAACAGAAAAGTAAGAGTAATAAAATTATTGATGCATGTGAAAAAACCCAAAATACTCTAAAAATTCATTTATAAAAACAGATTAGAATAGCATTCATGAAGAAATATACAAAATTATACAACTAAAAAAACATTAAATCACATAACTAGCTTCAAATGGCTGAATACTGATTTATCAAAATGAAAAGTTTCTTTTAGGAAGTCCTTCATGAGAACATTCCTTTCCACTGGCATAAAGCCTTTTCAAGCTTTGCCATTGCAAATAAAACGATGAAACATCACATAGCATATTTTTAGTTCTTTAAATAATTAACCTAATAAATATCGCTATAACCCTTCAGTCTTCAAAAATAAATATACTAGTCAAAAAGAATGCTGAATTTGGGCTATGGATACTAGGATTTCTTGGTCACAGGAAGGAATGCAGTCAAAGGATTTAGAGAAACAGAACTGTGCTTGTACGTCACGTAAACAAGAACTTCATATACACATATTACTGAACCACCAAGATTAACCTTCCAGCACGCGCGCTTGGCAATTTTACATGAGCATTCGCACTGATATAAAATTTACAGAGCCAAATGTATTCTAATTAAAATAATATACGACAATTAATAACACACAATTACAAAATATTTGAAGAAAAAAAAGAGCATTTTCCGAATTTTCACCCACGAACACTTGCATGTCGTAACTTTTACGAGAAAGCTGCTACATAGCACAAATGCCCAGTAAAAAAAAAAAAAGGTCAAATGACTTCCTGTTGGCACATTCCAAGATGTGGGGAAGGGTAGAAAGGAGGAATAGAAATGACATTCAGACATTCTGGAAGGTTAATATAAAACTTGAAAAAAACCAAGGAAGAGAACAAAACTTACATATTTTACATGCTGAAAAGCTACATGTAGAAAAATAAAAAAGCACATGTGGTTAAAATGGAAATAAAACTAAATAAAATACTCTAGCTTGACATGCTAAAAATTTTACATTTAAATGTAAGTGAATTTGGAGCTTCCAGAGATAGCTGTCTTCTTCATCAGCTAAAATAGGAATGAACGGCTGTTTTCTGCTGGGTTGCTGAATGTACGGTTGCTGAAATTTAAGGATCAATTTTCAAATAAATGGCAGACTGAAAGCAACTCTACTGCATGGCTTTTCAGCAACTTCTAACACTCCTCAATTTTAAAGCTGCTTTGTGACAGGATTTATTGATGATTTTACCTTCATCCCATTTAGTAATTAAGTTTGGATACTCCAAACAGTATTTTACCAAAGATGTGCTTTTTTTTTTTTTTTTTTTTTTTTTGTGTATTAGTAGACAGTGAATCTATTATATTTCTAGCAACTCCTTTTGATATTATTCAGGATGTCAAACTGATATACTCAGTTTCCACATTCGTGTCTTCCATCGCAGATGGTATACGCATTCAATGTACCTGCTGCAATGGAGACCGATTTGTCCATTTTTAACAATTTCTTATTCAAATCTCTTGAAAACTGAACTGATACATTAAGTAATGGCATAGTAAAGGGATGTTATAACGACTATACTTCCATTCAGTTTTTATGTCAGCAACAACATCACTTTTTCAGTATAACTGCAGAAATTTGTCTACTGATTTTCTCAATGGTCTTTCAACAAAGCTGAGAGTGAAACTATTGTTTGTTACAATATATGGGATGTACTTATATTCGTTTATTTCGTACTTATATTTGATAAATGAAACAACTTTGCAATAATACAAGGGTATCCCTTCAGTCTACTCTAACCAAAGATTTTTTAACAGAGTTTAGCTAAAACAAAACTTTCTATAAATTGACTACAAATTTCAACTACAATGGATGACACTAATTTATGGTTGCATTTTCGTGATTGAATTTTAGGACACAGCAATCTGGAAATGCTAACCAAATCAATTTTAGACAATTTATCCAAAAAGAATGTTAGTGGTGGTGGCAGTGGATTTTATGGCACATAACCTGAACAGATTATATACGCCAGACACATGTTTACACACAATCACAATTAAATCCACACAAGAATTACATACAATCACAAATTTTAAAATATAGCAGATTTATAAAATCAAAAGAAGCAATAAAATAACGAATGTTGAGATGAAGTTACTTATGATTTAGAAAATGATAACAGGTGTGAAGCAGGTGTAAAAACATACATCATAAATTATAGTATTATATATAATACACAAAAATATAATATAAATAAAATGTACAAATACATTAAAATATATATCACAAAAATACAAAGATAGAACATCAAAACAAAATTAAATAAAAACCACCCTCCTTCAGGTACTGAAATAAATCAGCATTGGCCTCTTTCCCAATCACACGGTCAAGAGGCTAGTCAGCATTATTAAAATGCTTCACTCAAAGTATGTTAAAATACAGACATTAAATTAAAAAAAAAAAAAAAAAAATGAAGCACAGTCAGAACACTACCACAGTATGAACAGGTTCACTCTCAGTCTTCAAAATATAACTGGGTGTAACTCGAAAGTGACCAATATGAAGACCTGGGTTGAAATTACTTCTTACCTTTGGTTTGTAATTGATTCTCAATATTTTACTACAGGTTTTACATTTTTAAGCGTGTTACTGACCTTAAAATCCCACACTAGCTGTCATTTATTTAGGACTTTTTTTTCTGCAAGCTCATTTCTTTTCATACAAGACAACCAGAAACCCAGCAGTACAGAATTTGATATCCATGCAGCTGTAAGTTTACGTTTACCTTTGGAAGCTTGCAAGAGTTGAAAAAGGTTTCCTTGCATATCTTTCAATGCATTATACTAGTCTGTGCAAATTATGAACTTTCTTTGGCACAGCTTTGAAATCAATAAAAGTGCATAATACAGAACAGTTGGTTCAGACATCAAGACTGAGCATGCATAGTGCAAGTGTCTGCCCTCCACACAGTCACCTATTATAAATATTGTATCAACATGACTAGTTGCTTTCGATTCATCATATACATTCTGGTCTGCTGTTTTCATGGCAGCTATATTTTCATATCTGTGCTCAAGAAGAGGGTGTTTGTATATGATCTAATTATGTTTCTCTTGTCATGACAATAGAAAACATCAAGAATATTGACTTGTACATACTCCCTTAGCAGAATTTTAAAATGCTCTACTGCTTGGGTGGACACATCAGACATGAAATGCTCTTCAATGAAAGAGCGAGCTCTTAATAAAAAAGAATGCACGTAAGATGGTTGTGCTTCAAAGAGAACATCAAACATGTCATCATCATCTACGAATCAAAAAACATCTACGAATTGCACAATCTTGGCAGCGAATCTACGAACTATGCACACCTTGCTTTAATAAATTAACATAACAATAACTTTCACAGAATATCATGTACACAGATATTCTGTGTACATGTCTATTTAAACTTAAAAAAACAGCTACGAATTGCACAATCTAGGCATTGCACACAAATCAACCGAATAAACTAAACTAAATTACAAACAATTCAAAAAGCTACAATAACAACAAAAATTCATACTGAAAAACAATGAAAATAACATTCTACAAAATAAAAACAATAAAATGCACTTACCATAATGAAAGCTTTTTTTGACAGCAGAAATATCAATTTTCAAACATCACCAAAACAGAAAACACAAACACTTTCTTCAATACACTACATAGAAATTTTTAATTTCTCCCATTCAACAGTTCTTATAATTTCTACAAATTTGTTAAAAGGATCTTCTCCAGTTTCATAACAGTAATGAAAAAACATACAGACAGCCAAAGAAAACTGAAAAATCGCATTTCCAATTATAACTAGGCAACGTAGCTTTAACATGACGCCACGCACTCTCTATGGTATTTATAAGACAGCCAGACTCGCTATCCACAAAATTTATACTATGGTTCACAAATAAATGTTCAAAACCTTCTTTTCCTAAATCGTCGCGAGATCTCCACCCATCCAAAAAAAATAGTTGTACCAGGCTCAATCCACTCTTTAATTCACTGCATCAGTGTTTCCTTACTTCTACCACGCACAGCCACTAAAAACAATCTCCCAGACCCTCTTTCCACACCTCCAAATACCCACTGCCCCTCAACAGGATGGCCACGATGATATTTCCTTTTGCCGAACTTCCATTCACCAACTTCCACCACTTTATCTCCCCCCCTATCTTTTCAGACACAGAGCATACAAAGTCCAACATACATTCGTTAATAAAATTTCGCGAGTCACAAAACGTCTGTGAACCAAAGTGAAACAATTTTGCTATATCACGTCTTCCTACAATTCAAAATTTCGAAAGTAACGATAAGAACTTCCTCTAAAGTTAACTTACTACACAAAAACCAAGATCCAAATCTTAAACTCTGCTGACACTCACATACTTTACTAGCAACAATTTTACTGGAAACTCACAAGTCTATCAGAAACACCATTCTTCGTCCGAGTTCTCATATCAGCTCCGCATTTTGGACACGCCATACTCGGTTTTAAAAGTCCCGACTCCCACAGAAATTCAAAAAATACTCTACGATCTGCATAAACACACCCATGAACAAAAGACTCGTTAAGAACTCCAATATCGTACCTTTTCATACTAAATTTAGTTTGCACACAGTCAAAAATACGCGACTGAAATCT